CTGTCTGTCTGTCTGTATTTATGTCTGTACGTACGTAGGTAGGTATGTATGTATGTATGTATGTACGTATGTATGTATGTATGTACGTATGTATGTATGTTTGTATGTACGTATGTATGTGCTTATGCATGCATGTAGGAAGCTAGGTAGCTCGGTAGCGCCACGAAGGCAGGGAGGGAGGTAGGCGGGTAGGCAGCCAGGCAGGCAGGCAGGTAGGCAGGTATGCATGCATGCATGCATGCGTTGATAATCCATGCATGGATGGATGGATGCTTGGATGGATGGATTGGATTGGATTGGACGGGTTGGCCTGGATTGGATTGGCTTGGATAGGTTGGATGGATCGGGTTAGGTGGAAGGGATGGGAGGGATGGCTGAATGTCTGCACGAATGGATCACGGATATGTGCACATATGCATTGTTCTACATACATATGCATGTATGTATGTACGTATATATGTATGTACGTATGTACGTATGTATGTATGAATGTATCTATGTATGTATGTATGTATGTATGTATGTATGTATGTGTGTAAGTTTGTATGCATGGTAAATGCAATGTAATGTAATGTAATGTAATGTAATGTAATGCAATGTAATGTAATGTAATGTAATGTAATGTAATGTAATGTAATGTAATGTAATGTAATGCAATGCATGCATGGATGGATGGATGGGTTATGCATGTATGTATGTATGTATGTATGTATGTATGTATGTATGTACGTATGTATGTAAGTACATACACCGAGACGACCTTGTATTCTAGCAGAGATAGGAAGCTGCAAGCCGCAGATGTCCAGATAGAGCGAAGGCAGCTTTCTCGAAGTTGATACTCCAACTGCAAAACCTGCTGTCTAAGGACATCATATTCATCGCCCGGGTCTGAGTGGAGCTGTTTCTGTTTCGAGCGAGTCGTTGCAAGATGGGTTGTAAGGCAACAGGGCACTCTGGTTTTCCAGCGTTTGTGTTCTGCAGAGACGGGTTTGGTTCAAGCTTTACAGTCCCAGCAACTTTTGCTGACGCCATGCCAACAGATGGACCCCCTGCGAAGTTCCAGAAGACGGCTTTGACAGCGGCTGAGTCCAGCAAGTCCACAACAGGTCGAGTCATCCTCATCACTGGGACTGGTGGTTTCGTGGGCTTCCACTGCGCCCTTGCATTAAAAAAGCGAGGTGATGGGGTGCTCGGCTTGGACAACTTCAATGCCTACTACCCCGTGGGCATCAAGTATGACCGGGTGGAGACGTTGGAGCGAGCCGGCATCTACACCTTCAAGGCAGATCTTAACGACAGAAGCTTCGTAGACCACGTCTTGAAGGAGTACGGTGTTACGCACGTCCTAGCTTTAGCGGCCCAGGCCGGGGTGCGATATGCGACGAAGGACCCAGCATCCTACGTCTCATCGAACGTTTCCGGCTTCGTCAATCTCTTGGAGGCCTGTCGGTTTTGTGATCCCAAGCCCAGAGTGGTCTATGCATCCTCCAGCTCCGTCTACGGCCTGAACACCGTGAGCCCCTTCTCTGAAGAGCATCAGGTGGATCGGCCGGCGAGCCTCTACGCAGCCACGAAGAAGGCCAATGAAATGATCGCCCACACCTACAACCACATCTACGGCTTGTCCCTGACGGGTCTTAGGTTCTTCACCGTCTACGGCCCCTGGGGTCGACCCGACATGTTCGCCTTCTCGGCCACCATCAAGATCCACAAGGGAGAGGCTCTGAAGATCTTCCAGGGCCCCGGTGGCTCCGAGTTGGAACGGGATTTCACGTACATCGACGACATCGTCACGGGGTGCGTGGCGGCCGTGGATAAGATCCCGGAGTCTGTCAAAGGCACCGCCCACTGTAAGGTCTACAACCTTGGAAACAAGGACCCTGGCTTTTTGTTCAGAAACTTGAGTTTTGTGTTCTACCGTTATAGGGCTGGGTATATATGTATGCATTGCATACGTATGTCTCTGTCTATCTTTCTATCTACCTACCTCTCTACCTCTTTATCTATCCATCTACATACCTGTCTATCTACCTATCTACCTACCTACCGACCTACCTATCTATTTACCTATCTATCTATCTATCTATCTATCTACCTATCTATCTACCTATCTATCTATCTATCTATCTATCTATCTATCTGTCTATCTAACTATCCATCTATCCGTCTATCCATCTATCCATCTATCCATCTATCCATCTATCCATCTATCCATCTATCCATCTATCCATCCATCCATCCATCCATCGATCCATCCTTCATCCATCCGTCTATTTATCCATCTCTGTCTGTGCGTGCTAGTAGGTGCGCATTTATGCACATGCACAGCTCTAGCGTGTTTCTGTGCGTGTGAAAAGTATGCTTCCTTTTTATAGTAATTCCATGTTTAAATTCTTTACAGCTCTTTAGACCCTAAACCCCCAAACCCCAAACCCTAAACCCTAAACCCTAAGCCCTAAACCCTAAACTCTTTGCACGAGGATCCGGTGACAGTCACCTACATGATTGAGTGCCTCGAGAGGGCTATAGGGAAGAAGGCGATCAAAAATTACGTGCCGATGCCCCCGACGGGAGATGTGCCTGGGTTCTGGAGTACCATACTTGAATACTTTTTTTGGGGACCTGTTCCTTAAGGGAACCATTTTAAAATAAAAGGTTACTTCAAAGTCTAGGTGCTCAAAACCAGCGCCGATGTGTCTCTGGCGGAGAAGGAGCTGGGCTACAAGCCGACTACCCCACTACAGGAAGGCATCAACAAGTTCATCAAGTGGTACGATGAGTACTACAAGGAGGGCTTGACAAAGGAGATGTCCACCTATGTCCCGTACTAGCAGTAGGATTCTCGGACCTATGAGGGGGTTTCCGAAAATAGGGGACCCTAATATAGTACCAAAAATAATAGGATCCTTATTATAAGGACCCAACATAAGGTGGTTACCCTAATTTTCGGAAACTCCCATGAGTCAGACTTGTTAGTCTACTAGAAGCGCAACAAGCATTTGCTTGGACACAGCGGGCACGCGTGTGCCCGCTTGCATGTGCCGCTGTGACAGCCGGCAAAGGTTTCAAGAGCTTTCGCAGTCGACGCGACGCAGCGAGCATTGCGGGTTGCGGAACATGCGCTTCAAAAATCCAGTATGGGCCAAGTTCCAGTCTCAGGACTTCGATTGCCTCTTAACAACTTGCTTTCAGGTCGAGAATGTGCGGGATGTGGTGTGCTTGGAGACATCTGGCACGGCCTGCCCATCCAGAGCTGCGATGTGCACGGGGGCCCTGCCCTTTGACTGCAGGCCACACGCCCCTCTTTTCATCAGGGTTTGTTGGAATCGCCAGACCCACAGTGCCTCTTGCCATTCATGCGAATCGCACCTCGGCTTCCTGATTTGGACATGGATTTGTTTACGGCTTGTCGGGAGCCCTGTGGCTGAACCTAGAATGTAAGAAGCAGAGAGACTCCGTGACCAGAGCTTCCACTTAGGATATGTGTGATGCCTTTCACATGGCTCCGGTCTTTGCAGGCCAGGACGCTGTGGGCTGGGCGAGTATAGGGTTTAGGGATTCATCATCTGTCGTTTATTTTTTGTCTGGTGGGTTCAAGGTCCTTGTTCCCGATCCTGGCAAGCTGTACGTGCGGTTGCCCTAATTAGTATGATGTTCGAAACCTTGTGCACCAGAATGTGTTTGAAGGCTGAATAATGCAACATCGCAGTTTGTGGTGGTGGTGGTGGTGGCGGCGAACGGATGTCCTCATTTCTTGCTGTTCTGTGCTGTTGTCGTTTGACATCATCACTCGTTGCTGGTTGCCCGTGCCGTTGCTCGTTTTTAGCGTCGTCCTCCGTCCGTCGTCTGTATCCAATAGCGTTGCTTGAGCGTGTTGGAACATAGGTCTGATCAGTTCGTAATACTATCCCCCTAAACCCTGAACCCCGAAACCCTAAACCCTAAACCCCTACAGTCGTCTCCTAGTTATAAAGGCAGGTTGGAAGCCCAAGCAACGAGGGCAAAAAACAACCAACTGAACCGCCATTTGCAGGTCCTCACGGTGCCGGTGCTCATGTCCAACGTGGTGCTACTGCCATAGCCTTACAAAGCATCCGGGGAGCTGGGTCTGTTGGCGCATGACCGAACGTACCAGGTTCGGGTTGTTCCTTGGGTTTAGGGTTTAGGGTTTGGCGAGTTATTTTATCGTTTGTCATGACATGCTCCCCCCGTCCCCGCAACTAGCAGCATGCTTCATGGCTACACCCTTAAACTGGAAGCCCAAACCCTTTAACGAAAAGCCCTCAAGCAAAAAGCCTAGAAACCCTAAACACATATCCCAGGTGCGGCATCTCTTGGATTTATTACTGCAGCTTCGTGCAGTTGGGCCGGGGGCTTTTCTGCTGGCCCTTTTCGACATTTAGGGCTTGTCTTCGGGATTTGTTATGGGATGTAGGGTTGAGGGTTCAGGTTTGTTTTTGGTCTGGAGGGCAGCCGCAAACCTGAACCTTAAATTGTAGGAAGGGGGAGTTGTGAGGTTTGCGGGCTAGCAGCTGAAAGCATGTTGTTTAGGGGTTCTGCCACTGTTGCGTTATTGCTGCAACCTCATTCTTGCTTTCATTTTTTTTTACTGCCTGTCCATCTTCCTGTAGATGGCAAAGGGACCCGAGAGCACTGGGGGAGACTCGTGTCCTTTCCCTGCATGATGCCCAGGCACCAGCGGGATTGCCCCGAACATCATCCTCTTCAACTGGGCCGAATTCCCCGTGTTCTTCGGATGTCCCGAAGCCCAGCAGCGCAGTGCACTGGGTTAAGGATCAGGGGGCTTACGGTGTAAATTCTATAGGGTCGGAACGGTTTGCGGTTTAAGGTCCAGGGTTCTGGGTTCCAAAACACAGTAGCTGACAGCATTTACTCGATCGATCTCAGAGCGAGACCAACACCACTTGCACTCGGCTTGGAGTCTTTTTCTTGGGATTGTTGCTCTGCCCTAGTAGTAGAGTAGGTAACCTTTNNGGGTTTAGGGTTTAGGGTTAACCACTTTGGGGCACTATAATCCCTATAAAGTCCCAATATACTCCGAAAGGTTGACCTTTAATTCTGCAGGATACTAGACAAGTAGGCTTCCCTATGGTGGGGAAACAGCAGCCATACGAGCAAATTGCCACTGCTGGTAACGCAACTTCGGGTTGGTGTTGCCGCAGCAGCACCTGCTACAAATGCTACAACAACAGCTGGCAATTGCTACTGCTACTACTACTACTACTACTACTACTACTACTACTGCTCCTACTACTACTACCACTACTA